TTAGTCCAGGCTCTTCAGAATGGCCTGGTGTGTATCCATCTGGTTCACCGACCTTGAAATCTTTCCCGATATGCTGCTCCAGAGCCCTTCGGAAGCATCCCATGTGGGTAGACTCCGGGTCCGGATGCTTCCAGAGCATGCGTGGAGAGTCTTGAGTCGCCATTGAGCGAGTGAGAGTGAAGTATATGGCTGGCAGGTGTTCTGGATAGAGGAAACCTCTCGTGATGGCCGCGGTACTTTAGTATATGGAGAGGGGCTGGGGTTATACCTCGGGTAAGCGTCCGCCATGCGGGACCTATCCCTTGATGCGGGCCGCAATTACAAGGGTCCGATATATGGCAAACACGCTGTTCAAGGCTATATACGTTATCTGTGTAGTCTACAAAAATAAAACTTCTTTAATCTACAGGCTACATTCTCGAGTTCGTCGCCGCTGTCGCAGGCCGCAGCAACGAATCGGTCGGGCCTCAAAACAACATCTTTCCGCCCAGGCTAACCCACAGGAATTCTTCATTGTGCTTGCGGGGCCCCGGACGACTGACACACAGTGGGGACTGCACGGACTCCTCTGCAATGACTGACCGGAACAGACGGCCTGGAATCAGGTCCAGATCCGGGTGCGGCCCGCCGGCTTGAACGGATCGTCCGGGGACCGAAATATGTCGCCTCGTCCGCACGCAGGTAGAGACTCATTGCGATGCTAACACTGCTCAATTGCTCCATAGCCAATCATAATCCATCCATGTCGCGAAGTAGGACGACGACTTCGAAGACGGACTGATCGGCCTTGTCAAATATGGGGTCTACTCAGAGAACTGGAGGCTTAGCGTCCACCGCTAAAGATATTTTACAGAGTCATGGCGAACGGTGTCGAGCAGTCCGCAACAGAAAAATCAATTGCCTCCTATTGAATCTGAATTTGCTGACTATCTTTCTCGATGCCGACAAAGTCCTTCGCACGGTGTTGAAGGGTAGAGGGCTATAAATAGAGTTGAGACTTAATATTTTACATGGAGAGGCCGCTATGATATAGTTAAAGGGCAGGATTAGCTCTCTATTTCTGTTACATCTCAAGGTTCCGGTTTCTTAACTTATGAAATACAGCTGTTTTCAGATTTAATCTGCTTGAACTTTCTTACACGCGGCTCCTCGCGTAGGAAATTCGGAACAATCTTCTTGAGTGGTGGCTGTTAGCGGGAAGAATTAATAGACTTCGTGCTATTCATTATATCGGAGGAAAGTCTTATACAGTCGGCAATTGTTATTAACGGGCATGTGATAACTTCTCTAGATTTATATGGGTAGCTGGAGTAATTTTCGCTTCTGCAGCCAGCTGGACTGGGACTTCAGGTCTTTCCCATGGCCTCTGTGCCGAGAAACGATTCTCCGTGATTCCCTAGATTGTAGATGTGGCTATGTTGGTTTCTCTGCAATGATGTCCTCTGCTGATATTAACAGTCGAGTGCTGGTAGGGCCTATTCTGATAATAGGTGGCGTGTTTATAAGCGTCAGCCGTCATTCAGTGATTGTCCCCACATCCTTGGATAGGTCCCACCCCTTCATCGCCAGGATCAAAATGCGTGACAAATCTGGCCGTTCATGATTGTGCAGGCCACACACTTCTGTTATATAAAAAGATTCTGTGCTGAATATATTTCGTCCTACTAAAATTTTATCTATTCTTGTTAATTATATCCAGACAGCTTATTCAATTTGTTATTCAGTAATCAGGTATATTATAGTAAGCTGATTAATACTAATAGTAATAAGTATACAGCGTAACAGTTCGATGGTATATTGTATTCTTTTTTGTTTATGGGCGGAATTTAAGGACATGGATGAGCGGGAAAGATGGACTGAAAGTGTTTGAAATATGCAGTGCTGAATTTGAAGTTGTAAGTAACGCATTTGTTATGGTGTTTCGGGGTGCGCTGGTCGGCAAGGCTTCAGTGTTGGGACAACACGCGAATTGAATGGGGCGGCAATGGTCACGGTTAGCCTACCGCTGTCTACCCGCACACAGACACATAAACAGCTTCCAAGGCTAGCATATGGACGCGGGGCTAAGTATTCCACTACCAACCTCCGGCACGGACTTATGACGTAAGGCTCATGGTAAATTCTAGTAAAAAGGCACCACATTGTAATCGTTGAGTATTATAGCCCCCACATGGGCCCATAATTGAAATTGTTGTTTCAGCGGCAGAGGTTTGCCTAGTAGATCAATCTAGAGCTCTAACGTGGGTATAGAGCGACGATAGTGGAGAGGTTTAAGAAGCAACTGGTCGAAGGTTTCCGCTACCCCCCGGGGCCACAATATCCTGTACCGTGACTGGAAGGCACAAGTCTGCAATTTGTGATGACTGTCTTTGAAAGGATCCTCATTAAGATATATGTGGACGATGAATGTAATCTAAGGATATTGAGACTGGGGAGAAATTGGGAGATATTATGACTGGTCGACCATTTTGAGGGGCCTCCAAGGTATTCAAGAACATGTTTGGGATAGATATCTACAGGGAGAACATTAGGGAATTAGGACGCAGCCTATAAGATAGCCTGTTGGTATACCTGATATGGAAGAAACAAAATACATGATTTAGATTCCCAAGTACCACTCTGTCATCAATGTGCTGCAGCCCATTCTGCCACCTCATGAGTTGGTGCACACCATATGTCGGGATCTTTTCTCACTCGCGCAACCACTGCTTCGATAACCGCACGGGACTCGGGTGACGTGTGGAGAAAAGGATGGAAAAGAATATCAATGAAGGCCCTCTTCTCAACTGCAGCATCGATCTGGTCAAAGAGCGCCTGCTGGAAAGCTTCGCAAGTGAAGGTAGACCTTTGCTCTCCGTATTCAGCTCTAAGAAAGTCGAATGCATCTAGGATGTAGAACGCATCGACAGCCCTCCATTGAAACGGTAGAGTCACGAAGCCATCTTTGTCCGTGCTGATATCTTGGCCCAGAACTGAAGCATACTTAATTCCGTGACGACGGAGCAAATCCTTGGTACCGGCGTTCATCGATCCGCCGGGAGGGCGGAAGCCTTTGTAACAGACACCAAGCTCCTGCGCTATTGGGAGACTCTTGTTTATGATTTCTTCTTCTTGTAGGGGCGACAGGGTTTTCCACTCCTCGTGCTGATATGCATGATATCCAATTTCGTGGCCACGACTCTGGAACTCGCCGAGCATCTTTGGGTACGTCTGAATACCCCATGCTTCCATGAAATATGTCACCTTAACGTCGTGCTTGTCAAGAATGTCGAGAATAATTGGCGTCACCTCCAGTACCGACGGATGCTGTCCCACGGGTTTCTCCTTCGGCCATGCTCCTATTCCGACGTCTCTTGATTCACCCACATTATCAAATGTAATGCTCACTGCAGCTTTTGCACTGCCTGGCCAAGAGGAGGGAGGCATTGGGCGGGGTGGATGCGGTTGAGAGTGGATGTTGTGTCTATAGGCAGGTGAAGACAGCGCTCTGTATGTGAGAGAAGATTTGCGGACATGTGTATATTTTACCGTTCATAAAGTTTGCGAGCTCCTGTTATATATCAGCATTATTCCCGGGCGTTTCAGCGGGTACTATCAAGGCTGCATCACTGCAACACGTAGGCCCCGCACACAAATTACCCAAACTGGTCATGGCCCCGCAACCGGCGGTTCTTCAAGACTTTGCCTGGCTGGGTGACCCCATGCAATTAGCATCTGCGGGACTTCCAGTGAGAGACTACAGAATATGCGAAGGCCCCGCCAGGTATCAGACAAAGATAAGAATCAGGCCGTGGCCTTTGCTAGGTCAAGCCAAATTACACATTCCATCCTTCTTCATTCTGTGGACTCTGCAATCTCCAAATTCTTCTCTACAAAAATGGCCCCTTCCATTGCTACAGCACCTGGAGGTCTGAACCACTATGCCTACGCTACCAACGATATGGTCAAAACACACAAATTCTGGACAGAGGTCATGCGCTGTAAATTTCTTGGAGCGCAGCGTCAGGGTGGGGAGCCTGATAAATACAGTGGAGAGACCTTGGGGAGCTTCCTGCATTGCTTCTATGGCCTAGCGGACGGGTCAGCCGTGGCCTTCTTCGAACTCGCCAACAACTTTACGAAGACAGACGATGGCATCCCCGCCTTTACAAAGCACCTCGCTCTGTCGGTCAATTCCCGCGATGAGTTGTATGATTGGATGGCCCATTTCAAATCTTGCGGGGTCGATGTCAAGGGCGAAATCGATCACGATGGTCTTTGGTACTCCATCTACGTCATAGACCCGAATGGCCAGATGGTGGAACTTACATGGCAATCACGGGCATTCAATGACAAGGATGTTGAGGAAGGGTTGGAGATTATGAGGCAGTGGAGGGAAGACAAGGCCGGGGGTAGATTATCCACTTAACAACCACTAGGCAGAACAGGGCGTCTCGCATCAACTGCCAAGACTTCCAACACCCGTACCAAAATAGCCTGGTCATCCCTGCACCTCATTTTTGAATACCAATTTATACCTGAGAACTTTGCTTTACTTACCCTGTTTATCTATATTATTAATATATTACCTGAATCACCCATAACTTACTTACTTTATAACTTAGTATTGCTTACCCATAAAGTAGCAACGCATAACAGGCTCACTTTCCAGTCGGGCGTGTTTAATATGTGGCTTGAGTATGGCTGAGCGGACGGGAAGCCCTATTTTCCACACCCTATGGTCGTATGTACTAGGGTTTTTATTCATTATATTGATAAGGAGAACATCATGAGAGGTTGCTATGAGAATTCCGCTTCCTGATAGCTCCCTATCGGCAATCACCAGCTTGGCAGAATGCTGCACTATCTGGACTAATTTATGTTCCTACCATTAGAGCACACTGAATGAGATCTTTAAGGCATTGTTTTGACATTAGACAGTGCCTGGGCTGTTTGACGCTCCCAAAGCCCTCATCTAACCATACACAATGCAGTCTAACAAAGACTGACAGCTGACACTACTTATTCGTCCAACATCCTAGCGAGATCCGCGCCCCATCCACTGATCTGTAGTTCCGTGTCAGCCATCATAATGGTAGTTGGATATGCTGAAGCTGAACTTACTATCGAGGGCAACATCATGGTGAAATGGTTACCGTCGGCCCGTACCACCTTTATATTGTCCAGAACTTCGTTCCAGCCAAAACATCCCTCGTCGGTACGATCATTCAGAAACCAGTCCACGGCCTTCTGGTCTTCCGGTAGGAACGCCGGGCGAGTCACTCCTTCCTGCTTGTCCGCACCCTCTTTCGCGGAGATCAGTACCACCTGCGGCATCTTTCGTCCAGGTAGCCTGCGCACCTGATATGCTCGCATCTGCTGCCGGGCCAAGAAGAAGTGATCATTCGCCACCAATCGGCCTCGGCGGTTTGGTCGGAACTCACTGCCATTCCCCACGCGCACTTGCTCGATGGAATCTAGAAACTTGACCAGAGCGTCTGGGAAGTAACGGACGAATGTCGGACATGCAGTGTCGATCAGAAACAATTTCTCGACGTGGTTGCCGTCTTCGAGAAGTTGTCGTGCCACCTCGAAGGCCAACACGCCACCGACAGAATACCCGCCCAACAGGTATGGGCCCTCAGGCTGTCGGCGCTTGATTTCGCTTGCGTAGATTGCGGCGAGCTCCTCAATGGCTAGCGGCTGATCCGGATCAGGCTTACTATGCATGAAGGGACTATTGAGGGCGTAGACAGAAACGTTCCTAACGCTACCGAGCAATGGCCCCAAACCGCCGAACACGGCTCCAGAACCAAAACCGTCTGGGGCCAGGAAAAGATTCCGTTTTCCAGACGCAGAAGTCCCTCGGTGCAAAAGCATGGAGGTTGCCTCGGCCGGGCATTTCCTCTCCGGTTCAGCTGTCATCCCGCAGATCACCCGAAAAGTACGGGACTCACGACTAGAGCTTTCGGACCAGTCAACGTGTTTGAACCCGGCATTATGCAGGGCACTTCTCCATGCCCAGGGGCTTTGCAATGCGTGTGTGCGGTTATCATCAAAAAGCCACCACCCATCCAGCAAGCCCCAGACGAGGTCGTACCAGGCCAGCTTTTGCGTTGCCTCTATCAGCGCCACGCATCCATCGTTGGGCCGCACCAACTTTCGGATATTAACTAGGCTGTTCTGCAGGTCGCGCGTCGCATGAGCATAGCTGTTAGATATCACGACGTGGTAGCGTCCCAGCAGGTCCACATGGGGGTCTTCCTCGATGTTATACTGGCGGAACTCCAATCCTTCGATGTCCTGTAATGTCGTTTTGGAACGCTCCAGCAATGCCACAGAAGAATCAGACAATGTGTACGTAAAAGGCACGCCGCTGGCTTGAAGCTGTGGGAGGAGATGCCTGGCGGCGCTGCCAAGCCCAGCGCCAATTTCGAGCACACGGAAGGGTTCGCCGGATGCTCTAGCCTTCATGGTTGTGGAGAAAAAGTCGCTGAGCACCCGATTGGCCGCAAGGAGACCAGGGTCGTTGGCATAGAAGCTCTCAAGAAGCTCCTTGCCCTTATCATTAACGCATAGGATAGATGCGGCGTCAGCTTTCCCGGTGAGGCACTCAGCTAGTTGCGGTCCGAGCAGGTCCAGTAGATCATGTGTTGATGTGTACTGAGGATAGTTCGAAAAGAGATCAGTGCTCAGCTCCTTGGCTGATTTATCTTGTACGTGAGGCACGGGACCCCGTATAGAAGTACCACAGTGCTTCTCGACAAGGCCAGCTTCTTCCAATATCTCCCATAGCCGCGATACCTCTCTTTGGTACCTCGGCAACGTTTCCTGTAATGAAGGGAGCTTTTCTCCATGACTGAACTTCTTGAAAGGGCACCCCAGTTTCTCAAAGGCTTCGATGATGTAGGCTGTCACAATGGTTAGTTGCCGTGGATATACATTGTCCCAGAAGCCTGCCAGTTTGACCTCTTTTGCATGAGAATCAAAGCGGCGGCGAACTTTCTGGAAGACTGCATGGGTCAGCTCTGTATTATCCTTCGTTGGTATCTGGCTATTGTCCTCAAATGCAGTGGTTGAATGGCCGTTGCGAGTTACCCCGTTATTCATCGCAAAATTGGTATTTTCTGATGCAGATACAGTAGCGGCCTGCGTTGGCACGCGTCCCGAAACATGTGCGATAAGATCACAGAAGGACTTCACATCTGTCAAAGAAGCAAAGTCGGGCGACAAGATAGTCAAATCCAGTGCCTCATTGATGTTGCTGGCTATCTCCGCAGCGATAAGCGAATCGGCGCCGAGCTCCTCAAGCTGGGAGCCCATCTGAATATCTGCCACAGGTACATCGAGAGACCGACCAAGTATCTCGATAGCGGCCTTTTGCCAGTCAAGGTTCTCATCTTTAGCAGTCTCTGAGACATGTTCTGGCTCCAGAAGAACTTGATCGTCCTGGCCTCCCGTATTGGTCGCGTCGCTGCCTACCCGGGCAGAGATCAACTCACATAGCGAGGCAACGTCTGTAGCTGCAGCAAAATCCTCGACGGAGATATCGACTTGAAGAGCATCATGGATACTGGCCAATATCTCTGAGCTAATTAGCGAGTCGACACCAAGCTCCTCGAGCGAGGCACCCTTGCTAACTTCTGCGACAGGAACATCAAGGGTCTGGCTTAATGTCCCCTGTACTATTTTGAGCACATCGGGCGAACCTGTCTTTGCTCCATTGGTCATCTTAGAATGCGTGACAGGGTTTGATTTTGTTGGCTGCTTGGACCCAGGTGTTTCAGCAACTTGTGATGGGTCAGTGTGACCGTTGACCGTTGAGCTGGGATCCGCGCCGGCCAGTAACTTGGTCAACGTGCTGGTGGAGATCCCTGAGAATTTGATGTCTTTGGCAGACAAGACTAATTCCATCGTCTGTGCATCAAAGGCCAATACATCCAATATAGCCTCGTTGGAGCTTTGCCGGACAATCTGCGCATATACCCTGTAATATCTGCCTTCAGGGAGTTTATTTAGTGGGCCAACAGACCCCAAGCTCGTACAAATATAAGCCTTGCTGTCGTCCTCGTCAGCAAAGACGTGTAAGCAATTTATATATGCACCCGGGACTTCGAGGAAGTTGTTCATCACGAGAGCATCAACAACGTTGTTGTTGGGTGTTCTGGCCACGGTATTGAGTTCGTTCACCGGTATGGAGATGTCCGCTGCGCCCTCGGTGCCTTTTCCAACCAAATGCCGCAAGCCGCGGTATGCAGCTGCATGCTTCACCATATTACCGAATACTTTATATACCATTGCACCGCGCAAAGCGTCTGTGTCGGGATCATTATCGAGTAGGTTTATCATGCGGGTCCACTTGTCTTTCTTTTCTTTTTCTTCATCAGCCTTTCTACTGCTGTTATCTCTGAGTGAGATGCTTCCAATAGCGTGCAGGATTGACCTCTCATTCTTGACGGAGGTGAATCCGAAGCCCCACGTGTACTGTCGCTTGTTTGTCAGTGTCAGCTTCACGGAGCGCTGCGTATCCAAACTCAAGGGCGCCTTAAAGTGTATGTCGTCTACCACTATGCTGGACGTTATCTTATTATTCGATAATATGGAAACAGCATGTGCAGCCAGTTCCAAATACACCGAGGCTGGACATATCGCGGTCCCGACCACGACGTGGCCCTTGACGAGGTCTTGATAGCGCCTACTGTGCATGTCGATAGTGAAAACCGACTCGCCCGGCTTCTCGGTGTGAGGCTTGTCTTGCCTTATGAACGGACGATCCGCTGTATCTTTCTGACAATGAGGACAAACAGCGGGATGTTCTGGCATATTCCCTCCAGTCTTGTTATCTCTACCACCAGACAGACCTTTGTACTCCAGCCAGTGCCTGTGCTTTTCAAAATGATAGGCTGGCAGGGCCACAGGCCGATAGCTTGTCCGCTGACAACGGTGGAAAAGCCAATACTGCACGTTTGACTGCCCGGTCTTCCACAACGTGACCGTGGCATCGGCAAGTGATCGCACAAGATCCCTCCCATTGATGCCCAGGAAGGTGTGATGTCCTTGGGCCGGGGCCTGTGGCAACGCGCTCCGAGCCATTGCGACTATGGGGCCATTTACGCCGGCTTCCAGGAATGTACACGCACCCAGACGGTCGACTATGCGTGTCATCGCTTGGCCAAAATATACAGGCTGACGGGTGTTGCGGGCGACTACGTTAGGTCTAGGACTCGGCGAAGCGGTTTTGTGGCAGGATTCAAAGGGATATTTTGGCTCCTGCCCAGGGTTATGGGGTTAATGAATGGTGCAACCAGGGACTGTCTCATAAACTTACCTGGAACTCAATTGAAGCCGATAGCTTAGCGCACTCATCGACGATCGTGTCTGCCATGCTGGAATGGTACGCATACATGCCTCTCAAGACCTTGAATCGGATCTTTTCGCCGCTGGCTTTCTTCTCGACTAGATATGATTCGAGGTGGTCGATGTATTTAGTGGGACCAGCAACAACATAATTGTTGGGCCCATTGTAACACGCTATGTCCAGCTTAATGTCTGGGTGGATCGTGTAGAACGGCTCTAAGTGTTTTTCTGGGGTTGTGTTAGAACTGACGAGATCAGCTTCGATTGCTACCATGGAGCCGGTGTCATCGCCCCAGAGCTCCTGGATAATAGCTGCACGGCCTATGAGCTGTTAACCTTCCTGTAATTGAAGTCTCTGTATAAATAGTCGGGTGAGTTAAGCTTACTGATGTAAAATATGTTAGTGAAAGTCATGAACCGAAAAAAAAGAAAAAAGCCAGTTGTCAGCATAGGGACTGCGGATCCGAAGACACAGCGAGGAAAACGTACCCAGATACAAATTTTATGCCAGCTTCGAGCGTTATGGCGCCCGAGACCGCGAGTGCAGCCCACTCACCGAAGGAGTGACCGCAAAGAGCCTTTGGCTTTACTTCAGAGTCAATCCATGACATTCCACACGAGTACTGAATCGCGAACATGCTAATGTGCCGGAGGATGAGATCAGCTTCACCTTGGATTCCTTGAAGGATAACCGGGAAAAGACTGGGGAGCCCAAGCGACTGCATCACATCCTCGCATCGGTGCAGATGTGTTCTGAATAACAGACTGCTCTCATATAGTGGTCCGACTGAAGGCACGGTATCACCGTTCTGTCCACTGAAGAGGAGCACGACAGGCTTTGGTTGTGCTGAGGGAACAATATGCTTGTCCGGGTCGGAAAGCTGGGATTGTATATCGCTCACTGCATTGAGTACAGGCGTCAGCTGTCAACCTCTAGAAATTATTCGAAGGATAAGGTATGTATGTCTCTTACATGAAGTCGCTAATGTACAGAAGAGATGTCGGAGCTGACGGTTCTGCCTCGTCGCCAAAGCAAAAGACAGGTGAGGGAACAACTCAGGAGCAGGTAATTCTTCGATAATCTTGCGACTCAATGTATTGCAATACGCCAATAGGCTGGCACGTGAAGCAGCGGAAATGAAAACAGGCCAGGTAGAGGCAGATGGGATCGTTGGCGATGCCGAAGATGGCTGACGAGGCGGCGGCGCAACAACAGCGCTAGCATTATTGCCCGAAGCGCCGTAATTATTGACCACGGCGAGGCGCTTATTATCGCGCCATTCGCTCGGAGACGTCGGGATAGCCATTCGATCAGGCTCAAGGGCTGGAATATTTGGGTTCAATGCATGTAGCTCGGCTGCCCCGGAATCTTGCCGTGTTTCATCATGAGCAGCACCTTGATCAAAGATACCACTCCCGAAGCTCCTTCAGCGTGGCTCACGTTGGCCTTGACCGCACCAATATTCAAGATTGATGGTCTATCCTTCCCACCGAATATCTCCCGAATACCCTGGATTTCGACAGGATCGCCGGCGCGCGTGCCCGTTCCGTGAGCCTCGACATAGGAGACATCTGCTGGCTTGACTCCAGCGCGTCGTAGCACATCTTTGTATAACGCCACCTGGCTCGCCAAAGCAGGGTTGGTGATGCTGGTGTTGTTGATGTTTTGGTTGTTACCGGTGGCTAGTAGCACACCTTGGATGTTGTCCCCATCTTGTAAGGCCCGTGCCAAAGGCTTCAATATGACAACGCCAACGCCCTCCCCACGACAATACCCATCAGCCCGCGAGTCGAACGCTTTGCAGGTCCCAGTTTCGCTGGTGAACCCGCTGGCACGCAGTGCGTCGGAGCTTTCCATGTTCAAAAGTAGATGGACACCACCCGCGACGGCCTGCGTGCACTCACCACCCTGAATAGCACGGCAGGCTTGGTGAATAGCAACCATAGCAGATGAACAAGCTGTATCAATAGTATGTGAGGGTCCTGTCCAACCAAAGTAATGACTCAATCGGCCAGCCACAAATGATCGCATCATGCCCAGTCCTGTGTAAGGTGAGTGGGGGTTGCTCGCCAAATGTAAGATGTGGTCAGGAGCGCTCATTCCGATGAAGCAGCCAGTTGTGTGGCTATCTGGGTCGTGAGTTTCTCCCTGTTGCTGGCCCGGTCCGAAGTAACCCGCCGATTCTAGTGCGTGGTACGCAGTTTCAAGGAGCACTCGCTGGTGCGGGTCTGAAGCAGCGGCTTCCCGCTTGGATCTCTGGAAGAATTGATGATCGAATGTGTCGATATCAGACATAAAGCTTCCCCACATCTTGCCATCGCGAACCACACCGGGGAACCGCTTCTCGTCTACCTCGCGCACTATACTCTTGCCCTCCAGGATGGCCTGCCAGAGATCATTCTCCGTATTTCCAGCAGCTGTACGACAAGCCATGCCTATCACCGCGATTGCATGCTCGGGGTACTCCTTGTAATCCATAGTGGTAGATTGATATGCTTGTTTGCGGGGAGTGATGTATTTGAGCATAGGATGTCGTACGGGCTCATCAGCCTCGAGTTCCAAAACGCGCACCACCACTGCGTGGTCACTCTTAAGGCTGGCTATGTGGTCCCACGCCGCAAATGCCTCGTCCGGACTGATGTCTGCAATTCCCCTCGAAATTGAGGCCTTGTTGAGCCTTCGCATTGCTGCCTTGTTCTGATCCCAGACGCCTGTTCCCTGCCAGCCAGTCCATAAGATAGCCATGCTGTTATCACCCTGGCGCCTTCGGTGGGCTGCCAGTGCGTCCAGGAAGGCATTGGAGGGCGCGTATGCCAATTGTCCTGGAAATCCGACAAGCTGTCCAACTGAAGAAGTGAATACGAAGAAGTCCAGAGTCCTGGGTGGGAAGAGTGAGTCTAGATTCAAGCTGCCGATCACTTTCGGCGCTAAGTTGTCCGCAATATCAGTAGGAGTGCATCGTGTCAGCGTATGGTAACCCGCGGTACCGGCTGCGTGAATGACTCCCTTTATCGGTGGAATACCCAAGTCGTTAATGGCTTGGCTTAGTGTCACATCAGCGTTGGGCTTGCTGATATCAACAGCCAGCACATGTACCAAAATGCCCACAGCCTTGAGCTTGGCAATACGCGAGATTGGGTCCGCGCTATTTGCCTCAACTGGCTTGCTGTCAGTGCTTGGTGGAAGGCCACGGCGGGACACAAGTACTATGTTCCGAGCGCCTCGCTGCGCCAGCCAAGTTGCTGTTGCCAGTCCTATACCTCCGGTGCCTCCTGTGATCAGGTAGGAGCTGTTTGCATGTAGCTGAAGTCCCTTCTTATCACTAGGCTCATCATCCGTAAAGGGTTGAAGATAAGCGACCCGTGCTTCGCCTTCGCAGACTCTGACCACATCGAAGCCCTGTGCGTACTTCACTGCGGACAACGGGAAAACCCCGCGGTCGTCCTCGAACAGGCCGCCAAAAATCTCTGGGATTTCAGTCTTCAACACCCGCGACAAGCCCTGCAGTGGAGCGTACACGAGGTCGCCTATGCCCCGGTCCAATGGAACGATGGAGAAAAGCTTAACTGTCTCGCTCTTAGCGGAAATGATGCGGTGATTGAGCTGTTGTGCAACGCTTATCAAGCCGGTGCACGCCTGACTCGCGGCCGCGTATATCTCATTCTTACTCTTAGCCGTGGGTGGGATATAGACGACAATCGTCCCCGGGGTTATCAAGGGGTCAATCTTCATTGCATCATCGGTAACGAAAGTGGTGATACCCTCGTTGACAAGCTGCCTCTGGTACACAGATAAGCTTTCGCTCTCCTTGTCCGCGACCACAAACACCACATGTGCAATGCTTAACGGTTCTTTGGACAGTGCGGCCGGTGACCAGGTAAGCTTGTGGATCAAATCGTCGTTGGCCATGATTTATTCTCCTATCAACGCGGTTGCTTTCTAACCCAAAAAACGAAGATAACAATATGTTCAGAGCACTTCAGAAAGGTAGGTGCTCTATATAATCGAGTAGTCAATTAGACTGGAAAGTTCTATGTATGTACTGACACGGCATAGGGCAGGTTCGAAATAAGTCTGGTGATGGGATTGGACTCGAGTATTTATCTCATCACTCATGCCCACCCCCTTAAAGAACCCTACACATAAGATGCGGTGACGATAGAGTTTCCGGCCTGACAATTACACTACACGGCCATGATCAATATACGGAAAGAACGGGACATAGAACGCGCGCTTCTTGCGAAGATAAGCATCGTCGATACATCTATTCTGACGTAAATCTTAGTAGATACCATCCTTGAATTGTCCTGCGGGAACCTGAATCGGGTGGCCTTTGAGTTTGGCCTAAAGTCAATTATATTAGCTCCCGTATGCTCTCCTCATGGCCAACAGTCATAGATGAATAGTGCCAGGTACGATCTACTTCAGCTGTGCCATTTTATAGAGACCTTCAGATCGACGTAGTCTTTGGAAGGCTTCAGCATTTAAGTCATAATTCAACTACGCCACTGGTACACAAAGATATCAACTGCGACAGGGCTGATTTGCTTCGTCGGCTGCACAGCAGAAAAGCTGCCGGCATTTAATGCCCTTGTAACACTCCTGGAGGCCTTAAGGGCTGATGAATCTAATCCGAAAGTCGAATATCACCGCGGATGATGTGAGAATGAAGGGATTCAAATCCCTGGAAAATGTTTGTGTAAGAACCCCTTACCTTGTGTTGCCAATCCCAAAGCCCTAAGGCTAAGGTCCGTGAAAAAGGATACGTGTGACTGCAGGAATAACTGGAAGCCAACGGCCCGAGTTGGATGCTGTGAGCCTGAAAGACCCAAGTCACAGGTCATCATCCGGCTTTCAAGATACGTACTAGACCATCTGACTGTGTTTTCGATGGACATAAAATTGTAGGTTGCAGCCGCCACCAGTCTATCTCAGTCTTCATGACTATGCGCTCGCCCCCCTCATCCCTCTTATACAGTATAGCTCTCATCATCCATTGGTACATTTCATCGTTGTCGTCACACAGCACATGTTCATTCCAGGTCGTGTAACATAGCTATTTTTCCCATCATAGTCCCTTGCTTTGACTATCTTCAGAACAGTCGAGTAGGCCCACGAACAAGATCCCTGCCGGGATGGATAGATAAGAATTTTCCAGTGGCCAGTCAGCTATCGGTATCCACTTTCCAATAGATGACGTTCGTTAGTTGAGGGATTAAATAGGAGGTGGATCCTCATTAGGCCCCCGAATCCTCAGCTCTTTCAAATCCGGAATTCAATCAAGTACTTACCGGCATATTCCACGATGAGCATGAAGTGCTAGATGTAGGTGGTTCCAGATAGGGTTGCACTATCCGGCCAGTTATGATAAGCACGGGTTAGATTGGACCACCTTCCCAATTCACTAGCATACGCCTCCATCTCGTACATATAGATGGCCTGGCCTGAATTTCACACATTTGCACTCATCTTAATAGTACAAGGTGATGGTTCTGTATGCGTTTTGTCTATAAGTTTATATCCGCAGATCCAGGTGGATGTCGTGAGGATGTGCTTGGACTGGTGGGGGATTTGAAAACCCCCGACTAAACGCCGTCTCAAATGACGTAAGACTCACTTTATAGTCAGTCTACCAAAATATTCACATAAACCGAGGCCGATATTTAGGAGCAGAGTGCCGCGAAGAGTGTGATGATGATGCTGACGTATGACGTTTGCTGAAAGACCACCTGCCATGAGTTCCGACTGGAGTGAACTAAGACTTGAGACCAAGGACAAGGAGGGTTAATGTGTGAATAGTACTGCCACCAGAGCAGGCCGGAAGGAAATAGTGGTGTGTAGATCCTACTCTGGAGATCGATAGTTACTTAGTAGCGTCTATTGTGTCCTGAATGTAGATATAGGGTGAGTTCGGGGAACAGTGCGGGATAAGCCGGCCGGCGGAAAAGGGTTCCGAGCAGCAGTCACGAGATTGCGGTTTCTGCCCCGCTGCCTGAGGCTGCTCGGCAAACAGGCCAAACAATCCCCGAATTCCCCCCAACATCTTCAGCTTCACAACTTCTTCCTCAGCTCTTCTCTCGCTGCTGCCTCCTCATCCTTTCATCCCGGTCCTTCTTCATCATTCCCCCTTGCTCATTCTCATGCACTTTGTCCCACTCCCCTAACCTTGGCCTCCGACTGTCACCCCAGTCGATCTGCCGTCCACACCGCATCGATTCCCCCGCTCCTGTCCGCCTCCGAATGACCATGTGCAGACAATGAGTTTCTTTGCCCAATTCACCAACCTACCCGCGATCGCCACCGGAAAGGCCCTTCTTTTGCTTGACTTTCAGAATGACTTTGTACGACCGAATGGCGCGTTGCACGTCTCCAACACCGCCGATTTCCTCGATCTCTTGCCTCAGCTTGCGACCGCCTTTCGGCGCAACGGTGAGGTGGTGTGGGTGCGTTCTCATTACCAAGAAAGACAGCCCTTGATCAGCCCGACAGACGCACAGGACCTCATCGTGCTCGGTCGCATGGACCGAGAGACCAGAACGCAGACTCCTGACGAAGATGCATTCGATCCCTCCGCCGCCGATCGTGCCGGACCCGTTGATGAAGAAGCCTTTCTCTCTACCGACTCTCCACGATGCTGTATTCCCCAATCGACTGGCACACAATTCCCGGCCCCAATACTGGCTGCCATTGACAACGAGGCGGATATGTTAGTCGACAAGTTTGAATACTCCGCCCTGCAGGATCAAGGCCTAATTCTGTACTTCCGCACGAGGTTTATCACCCAACTATATCTCTGCGGGTCGCTGTCCAATACCTCTGTTTACGCCACAGCCCTTGATGCCGTGCGCCATGGATTCACTGTAACACTCATCGAAGACTGTCTCGGGTTCCGCAGTTTTACGCGCCATGAGGAAGCGATGCGCCGTATGGCTGACATCTTCGGAGCCAATGGTATTACAACTCAAGAATTATTTCAAGAGCTGGACTGGGAGGAGACAGACGAGATTGCGCGCAAAGGGAGCCCGCGCCCGTTGCAGTCACTGACTCCCGCTGGTATCGAAAATGTTCTGGATGAACTAGAGGTGAGACCGAGCGCCTCCCCCACGACGAAGGAGGAGAGTCCAGAATCAGGATCAAGCGGGGGCCGACGCCGCAGGATTGATGATATTTTGGCGGAGTTCACCGATAACGAGGATGGAGACCTGAAAGAGCTAGCTTCCTTGACTCGTTCACGTGCTCGATATGGGGATTCAGCTCGTGGAGCGACGCCCGGTGGGTCGGGGGAGAAGAAGGTTCGCGCTCGAGTGCGACGTTCAAAACGGCCAGATGCAAAGACAGAATCTGCGTCTCGGTCGGACAAGCGACGCAGCGGCAAGTCCAAGAAAACCGATATATACCGACCGGGCGACGTGATCGGTGAGGGAGATTCCCGTATCATCTATGATCTTGACCTACCATCCGAGGCCTTCGAGAAGATCCGCGAGGAAGTGTCATGGCAGAAGATGTATCATCTTTCAGGCCAGGTACCGCGTTTAGTAGCGGTGCAAGGCAAAACATTAGAAGACGGATCAATACCTATCTATCGCCATCCGGCTGATGAGTCGCCGCCACTGCAACCCTTCACGGCCACAGTGAACAAGGTCCGCGCGATAGTGGAGCGCATTCTCGGGCACCCGTTGAACCATGCGCTCATTCAGCTCTACCGGGATGGGCAAGACCGAATTTCCGAGCATTCCGACAAGACCCTTGATATCGTCCGAGGTTCCTCAATCTGCAATGTTAGTCTCGGTGCTCAGCGAGTCATGGTTCTCCGCACCAAGGGTGCCGCAGAAGGTGGAGAGTCGGGCCGACAGACACAACGTATCCCCATGCCCCACGAATCGCTGTTCATCCTTGGAGATGAGACAAACCGGCGTTGGCTTCACGGCATCCGACCGGACAAGCGGCCGGAAACGGAGAAGTCGATGGAAGAGCGTGCTTACAAGGGGCAGCGCATTTCCCTGACCTTCCGTCACATTGGCACGTTCCTTAACCCAGCCGGCGACACCATTTGGGGCCAAGGCGCAGTGTCAAAGTCACAGGAGCAGGCACAGCCAGTAATTCATGGAGATGCAAGCGAGACGGAGCGCATCATCCGGGCATTTGGAGAAGAGAACCACGCCACAGAGTTCGATTGGGAGCAGGTGTATGGAAGCGGGTTCGACGTGGTCAATTTTGTCACGGCGGGTACAAGCAAGCTCATCCTTGGACCGGATGCCGTGGCTAATCTGCGGGTGCGGCTGTGCCTGAGCGAGAATGGAATCCGCTACGAAACCGAATCAATGCCTGCGCGCGCCGCAGAAAACGACATACGGCCACTTTATATTGCCGCTGACGGAACCCAAATAGCTGGTGACGTCACCATCTTGACCCACTTTGCGCAGCACGCCGCAGAGCTAGTGCGACCAGAGCTTGATGCCCTACGCGGGGGAAGTCAACTGGCGGCTATCGACGATCTTCTGGCTGGTTGGCGCGACTCACGACGCCCAGGAACTGGTGAGTTCGCTTTGACGCGGTGGGAGCAGGCCCTGACAGGGCAGACCTACCTGGGCGGCGCTGGGTTCAGCATTGATGACTGCGCGCTGTGGCCCGTTCTGAGGGAAATTGCGCGGTCGACAACACTGCTCTCGGACAAGCGCTACCCAAACCTAGGTCAGTACTATCAGCGGGTGGAGAAGCGCGGGCTAGTCAAGGCAGCGTTGGAGGAGATGGACTAAGCATGAGCAGCGGATGGTGGCCTTATGAGACATGACTAATGAGCTGCTTTTCTTTTGCACGATACCATCTACAAGTATAATTAATCATATGTCGGCAGTGGAATGGGATCCTCTACAGATTCCGGTGAGCATTTGCTTGATACCTTTTACATAGCGCAGTTTGGTGAATATCGTGTTGATGTAAGTATTATAATATGGGTAATTATATACTATCTAACTCAACTACCGAGAGATCAAATCAGAGGGTCCAAACAGCCTTGACAGGCGCACTGTCTTCAGGATCAGTTGTTGCTCCCATCAGTCGGGGCAATAAGTGTGTTCCCGGTAACCGTGTCACAGGCCTTTGAAGGTATGTGAGAGGGACAGCAAAAGGCAGAACCTTGAGACAGGCTGTAGTTTCTCTTGAGTATCACATTCAAGGAGACAAAGATGTTCCCATCAGTTCTTTCATAGAGTCCAGCAACGGGAGAATAAGTTTAACATAAGCCATGGCTGGTCCTACCGGTCATTCATTCAAGGCTCTGCTGTCTCTGTGTATCAATGTCATATGATTCTGCAAACACTCCATCCAAGAGTATCTCCGGAACAATAACTAATCGATGGGAGAGGTTCCCACGGGCATGAAAATGGTAGACCGACGAGCGATTCTCCACCATGACCTTCTCGATTGGGGGAAACGGGCCTCTGCAGTGTTCCTCATGGATTCCACATAGGGAGAACACTTGAGTGAAGGCATCTGTATTCGCAAGTGCCAAGGCTGCTTTGACAGCTATGAAGAGTGACTGATATGGGCTGTCGATGTAGTCGCGATCGGCCTCTGGGTGAGAAAAGTCGAATTTGATGCCGTACACCTTCATCTGGGTCGCTATGTCAGCTTATGGTGATGGGGTAGAGTTCAATATGATGCCGGACAATGAGGAGGTGTAGAATACCAAGGGTGTCTCGTGACGGAGGATGGTCTGTATGCCTTTCGAGTAAAGGGTTTGGTCTATCAAGTTATCGATGGTATTTCCTGATAAGGGGTCGTTGTAGTTGATGTCGGTTGACATTCTGGGTGGGGGGTAAGATCTGAGATGGGAGGATGAAGTATGTGTAAGTAAACATACCTGATCTCTACTGAGTGCTCTATTAAGTCATATAGTTGTGTCTAATGTCGGGTTGAGAAGGAGCAAAGACGTGACGTGGAAGGTGCAGGTTTCCATGATTGTGGTAGACTACATGTTTCGATGTGCTTCGACAGTGAATATCGACATCGTCCTGCATGTTACATTTAGTTATAATCTTGATTTGATACAGCATATATGTATGGCTGTCTTTATTGATGGGGATTCCTCTGTCTCTACTGAGATAGCTACATGGCATAGCTGTGGGTTTCCATTCGGTCTAAAAGCCCCTATCCAGTGTCTCGGTAATGTGGTACCCCTAGTTGGTTTATCAGAGAGAAGAGAGTGGACACTGAAGTTTCGATCCATGGGGTAATCTTGTGTACTCCGCCTTGAAAACTTCTCTTTAAACTCGGCCATGGCCGCGGATCAATTGATTGTGTATCGAAAGACGGATGTTTTGGGGCAGAAAGCCAACATACATCACTCGGAGTTAATGCCAACATGAACTGCCGACGAGCCCGTCACCGTATCCGCTGGCCGAATGTAACAATGGAACCTGAACAATGGCGCACCGGTCCAGAGCCGGTACCGCAGATTAACAATTCTTCAACCACTTGGTTTTTGACTGTAAATAGCCATCTTCAGGTGATATGTTTTCTTGCCAGTTTTTGACCGTGACCTTTGCATACCGCTGCAGTTGACATCAACCGAGAGCATGAAGCTTGGAAGGGTATAAGTGCTACCATATCCGAATCATCGATTCCCGTTGATATTGGGTTGCTGACATTTAGAAGACAACATCTCTTCGACTTATTCAATTGACGCACCATACAGTGTCATCATCCGGCTCCTCCGCAGATACGGATGGCTCGAATACACTCTCGTAGACCTCAACCGTAAGCAGCTCCTGGAATTTCACATACCATGTCCCCTCCAGCCTCTCTTCTAACAGCACCACGGCGCCCCTTTCTGTATATTGTGACATCATCACCATCAGACCGTCTGATCCGTTGTACGTGCTCCACCGACCTCCTGGCGTGAGTTGGAGCTTCATCCGTGAATATCCGTCAAATGCGAACACGACATCGCTCTCCGGCAGTACCGACTTCCTCACCCTCAGCCCAGGCAGCACGACCCTCAGGCCCCGGGCCTGTAGCAGGCCTGGCTGAAGGAGCCGAGAAGCTTGTATGAGCTGCGTCAATGGCTCGTGGATAGCGCCCAAGAAAGACGTCGCCGCCCACCCGTATCCGGCGTCCTGCAACCTGGGGCCCGGCGCAAAGATCAGATCTGGTGGAATGGTGTCCAGGAGCGACACGAATGTTTTCATCCGGTCGGCTTTATCGCAGTCTAGGAGTGGCTGGACGTCGAGCCCCAGAACTCCCGCGAGGCACAGGGTCTCGTCCTCGGCCTTGCTCGTAGTGCGGATGCCGACCGAGGAAGGAAGTTGTAGAGAGTGCTTCCCGGGAAGTCGCCCCATCTTTCGCGCACAAGGTTCGGGAACGGGCTCATGTCGCGAAGGTGGTGGCCGCCGAGAATCTTCATCATCGCCTTCACCCCAGAGAGGTAGACGGGGCTTGAAAAGTTCCCGCGCAGGGAGCGGAAGAGTGCTTCGTCGTGGTAGTTGGGGAAGTCCTGACACTGGGCCGCGAGATGCGCCCACTGTTCATGTCGTTCCCAATCTCCTGGGAAGGCGGAGACATCCGACGACTGTAGTCCCCTGGCGAGCGCTCTCACTAGCCTCAGGAGGGTTGACTCTCCTGGTAGCTCTGGAGCGGACTTGTTACGGCAGAGAAAGTTGGCGAGGGCGATATGGCTTTTGCCCTCGGTTTGCGACCTTGCCTCCAGCGCAGTCGGCCGGATGGTGCCACCGCAGAATTGGAAATGGAGCTGCTCCGCCAGAACCCCCTCCTGAAATGTCCACAACCGTGTCGCCCATGGCGCAGTAACGACGCGCATCATGCGTTCATGGATGGGTGCTCGGACGTCGATAATCTGCAGGGAAGCATCCAGAACCAGGACCTTCTCAGCACGCATGTATACCTCGGACATTGCCCGGATAGCCTTCTTTCGATAAATTGATTCCAGCGGCACGCAGAGGGTGTCCATCCAAAACGGGACTTCGTTCCTATGTCCGTAAACTCCTTGATATAGCGCATTGACAAGCTGCTGGATTTTCTCAAGCTGGCACCGCGGCAGCGTATTCGCTTTCGTGTTGCCTAGGCCATCTGACCACACATGAGAAATGGCAACATACGGGACTGGACGTGTATCTTCATCAATGTTGCCTGAGGGTGATTGTTGAACTCGAACTTTTCCATTAGAGAACAAGATAAGCGGAATCTGCCCTTGGTCCACGATGTTGAAGATGGCTGTCATGTCGATTGGAAGATGATGGCAGGAACAGCCTTCGCCTGTGTGTTTCGTCGCATACGTCTTCTCGTCAATCTGACGTGCGAGACACGTCTCTGCACATTGAGAGTGGTCCGCTTTGGATGCAGAACGATCCCACGTGGCCAGATAATAAAGGGACGACACGCTCGGGAAGTCCCTGCGGAGAGCGTTGACTTCGCCAATGCAACATCCAGCCTCCAGGAGGAGCTTTCTGCAGAATTCGGGGGTCTCCCATGTTAAAGTGCCGTAGAACTCCTCACGCTGGGAGAGAAATACTGTGTCTCGCTCTGAGTCTAAAGATTCTCCCACGATTGCAAGAGAGAGCAACACAGGGCCGGTAGCAGGTTCCGTCCCTCTCTGCGCGGCCTGGAGACGAATGACGGCGTTGAGGCACAAGTTGCTCAGCTTCAGGACCTCTTCAACCCTCCTCTTCTGGTGATCGAATTCGCCAAAATTGTCCCGAACCCAAACAGTATTAGCAGTCCACGACCAGAGGTATTTTGGTAAGTTTGCTGTAGATATCCGGTATTGGCCCGGTATGGCGGTGGCCTTGGCCACGAAGTCTTCCCGCCGAAATTGAACGTGGGCGACCTCGAAGACTTCTTGCAATAGGCCGAAGAAGAGCCACTCCTGCAAAAACGGTATGATGCTGTCGATCGTATGCGCCCCGAGGTCGCCTCGTTGTAGTTTGTCCGTGTCGATTCCGCATCGCGAGGGAAAGGCGTCAAACCCACCGCCGTCGTATCGAGGTTTGTAATCCAAATACGGTACTTGTGGCGAGGCCCGCATGGGCGACAGAATGGAGGGGAGGTGGTCCATCGGCTAACTTGAAACATACGAACCTGAGATCTACCTGGGCACGTATACAAGTAATCATGGGAAGGGGTCTAATGAGTCTTGTTTTGGCAGAGTTCAGCGTCTTGAAGTTACTGGAGCTGACCTTGGGCAGCCAGCCTGAGCTATCCCCTCACCTCCAGCGCCTTTCCTGCCTCCTGATTGGGCAAAGTCCAAGGCACGCATTGGGCTCAGAGTTGTGAAACTTGGTGACTCGAGTCAGACTCAAAGAACCATTATTCTAGTCCAGTGATCCAGAATATCTCCAAGGTCATTTCTGATTCAGTAATTTGGACAGGGATTTCGAGTTTGGTTCAGAGACAACTAGTTACGTAGCTTGAGTAGGTAGGTGCTATAACGGTGCTTACTTAAAATGTATATATCGAAGCAATGATTCAATTCTGTGTTTTAATTCTTACCTAAGAGACTACCGATTTAGGGATATTCGTGCTAGGTAACTCGGGATTATTAAGGTACTCAACCTACTGATTCGACTCGAACTCGTGGCCGGTTGTCGAACCCGACCAGGCACGCTGCGTCGTCTTGGACTGTCAGGTACTGCACCTTGGATATGGGCTGCATCCAGATGGAAGATTCCACAACCACCTCGGAGCCTTACATCGCTATTGTCACGATCTGGTTAATATTGATTATGGATTAAAGATATTACAAACAGTTAATATTCAGCTATAATCAAAAATATAATCTTTTTTTTCCCTAAACATATATTACGTACTAAGGCCCTTCATAGTACTAACTTAGTAAGTAAGAAAGAATGATTATATAATCATACTCATACAGTATCAGAATTAACATGGAATCAAAACCTATTCATACATATTAAAAAAAAAAAAAAAAAAAAAAAAAAAAAAATTATTATATAGCTTAGATGACTCAGTATCACAAGAGACTTTATTATGTATATAAAGTCTTTTCCAATATCACAATATCTCTGACTCTGACTGAACAGTTTTCCCAGCTCCTGTCTGACTCCGTCGCGTGTGGGTGTCCAACTAACCACTACGAGTTAGACCACAGATGCTGGATCATCCGACGAGTCCGACCTGCTTATGTTTCAAATCCTTTGCACAAAAGTTGAGTTTTTGATTGAGAGACGAGTTTCCCGTCCATCCCCACTGCACCACCGCCACCCTTTCCTAATTGAAATGGAATCGCTTGACTAACTCAATTAACTATAACTAAGTAACTAGTTAGTTAACGTTATGTCCTATGAGTCAGCGGGCTTTAGGAAAACATACCTAGACTACTAATCAATTATCTGGAACCAGAGAATTCCAGCATTCGCGGCCCGGACCCATTCTAAACCTTGTCTTTCTAGCTAGGTCCTTCTCATGTGCTTTCTCTTCTCACTCGTGGCAAACTTTAACATCTCGAATTGCAGTCAGCTTCCCGAATGGCCGTCCGTCTGAAGTCGCTCCTTTCACGCCCGGATATAATTCAGAACAGTCGCGGAGACTCCAGTTGGCCATAGCTATGAGGGGCCCACACCAGCTGGATAGCTACTCTGGAAGTACACATTTCCCGAATTGCCGGCCGGTCATTGCCCTAATGGGTCAACCTCTTGAGTCTTGACATTCACTCCTCCACCAATGGAGATTCAACCCGATGGATTCTATCCGAAGCCCGCCCCATCTGTGATGATCTGATAGACTCGCGGGCCAATCGCGGATCCCTATACCTCGTAGGCCCACCATATGTCGCCATGTTAGACTTCCCTGACTTGTAGGTTGTCTGCTCCCCTTATGCCTAGTATTCCAGCACCAGCCGCTCTCTCCCAAACCAAGCGGACGGACCTTACGCAGCCATGTCTAGGTGTCCGGAATTGACGAGAGCCGGTCCGACATCCTGGTAGTCCGTATAAGAATTCCACAGATGCCCACATTCCTGGCCATTCCTCCCATGAATCAAGATAAACGCCGGTTTCCTTACTCCGCCTCTAAATGCCCAGCTCTCCTTTCAAGGTTATTGTCGTGGGTGGTGGCCCGGTCGGCCTTACTGCGGCGCATGCACTCGCCCGCGCTGGCATCGACTTTGTCGTGCTCGAACGCCGAGACTCAGTACTCCACGATCAAGGTGCCAGTCTGGTCCTTGGAGCCCCATCTCTGCGCATTATGCACCAGCTAGGTCTGCTCGACCAGTTGTTAGCCATTGGGGCGGAACTTCGCCAGGTCCAGGCGTATACACGAGAGGGACAGGTATTCCGCAATACCAACCCTTTCCAAATCATGCGGAGAAAGTACGTACTGCGTCCCGCTTTACCTGACAGCTCCCTCGATGGTGTCGGCGGAAAACTGACACTGACAGTCATGGGATCGCCCCGGTCGCGTTCCATCGCGCACACTTGATCCAGACCCTATACAATTTGCTTCCGGACAAGGCCAAGGCAAAATACCTATTCAGTAAAAGGGTCAGCGATATCGAGTCAAGCGACACCGGGGTTCGAGTCACCTGCGCTGATGGGACCTCGTTCGAAGGATCTATGGTCCTTGGAGCCGACGGCGTTCACAGCAAAACCCGGCAGTTGATGCGCCAACTCGCCCTGGCCGCAGACCCCACTCGGAGTTGGGATGCCGCAAAACCCTTCAAAGCCGAGTACAAATGCTTGTGGTGCAGCTTTCCCCGACGGACTGACGTCGGACATGCCACTGAAACCCAAAGCAAAAACTATTCGGTCATGTACCTCTCCGGGCGCGATCGTGGATGGATCTTCCTTTACGAGCGTTTGCCACAGCCAACTTCCGATCGAGTAGACTACACGACGGAAGATATCGAGGCAATGGCGGCACGGTTTGCCGATTTTCCTATCACCGATACTCTGAAGGTGAAAGACGTGTACACGGAGCGGTCCACCTCGGGCATGGCCAACCTGGAGGAAGGCATTCTGCAGCACTGGGGTTGGGGACGGATCGTTCTCGCGGGAGACGCTTGTCACAAATACACCCCCAACGCTGGACTAGGTTTCAATAATGGCATTAAGGACGTGGTGGTACTGTGCAACGGGTTGCACAAGGCGCTGCAGAGCGCAGCAGGTGGATCGTTAGACGCTGCCACGCTCGGTCAGATATTCAACGAATATGAAGAAGAACGCGCTGGGCCAGTTCGTTCGGATGCGGGACAATCTGCGAGGACAACGCGATTGCATGCGTGGGCCAACACGCTATACTTCCTTGCAGCGCGGTACATCCTGTCGTGGGAGGTCGTTGAAGGGTTTCTGATCAACTTCCTAGGCGCACGTGCGATGAAGCAGTGCCCTGTGCTGGGGTACGCGCCTGCTACGGAGCCGTTCGTGGGGGCCGTAAAGTGGGATCACCCGTTGCCAGCGATAGACCAGGAGCTAGCGTGTTGAACACATGGAGTCGGTGTTACGTGATTCTATACCTTGATGAGAACTGAGAACCTCCTCTCTTCGCTGATTTTCCCCCATGACTTTGCCAACGCATGATGTCAACCTGCATAGAGCCCCTCTTGCGAGAGCAGTTGCCCAGCGGCTTATTCACTTTGCACCCTGACGATTTCTCCGAACAGGGAAATTTTCCTATGGAATCGTAGATGCAGCAATATGTGTGGACAATTTGTGACGGGTTTTGCTGCGTGTCAGATGCGGGGATTCAGCTGACCAGTTCCCCTCATCCACTCCGCATTCTGCAGTTGAATCAATCACTCAATTCATGTCGATCTCGTCCCTGCAGATCACGGACATACCACTTCACCTCCGTTTCCATTACTGCTGCAGACGGAATGATTCGGACGAGTCTCGGTGCATCAAACCCCGATGTTACACTTTTTTCCACGTATGGATGGATGCGCTCGTCAAGCGCTGGCGCTTCATATCAACCCTACTCTGCAAGCTCTGTGATCTTCAGACGAACTCAATCACCCACCATAGTCTATGAGATATCCAACCACAATGAAGGTTTCCAGCCTCCCAATCTTAACCTTCCTCCCGACCTCCCTCGCCACAACCATCTACCTGGCGGGGGACTCCACCATGGCCACCGGTGGTGGTGGCTCCGACACAGCTGGTACCTCCCTCCTACCCATCACCGCTTCTTTCAACTAACAACTAATCAGGCTGGGGTGACTACGTCGCCCAATACCTGAGCAACTCAAGCGGCATCACCGTCTCCAATCAAGCCGTAGCCGGGCGTAGCGCCCGGTCTTACACGCGCGAAGGCCGCTTCGATGACATCGCCAGCACGCTTGAAGCGGGCGACTATGTTATCATCGAATTCGGCCACAACGACGGTGGCTCGCTCTCAACCAGCGACAACGGCCGCACCGACTGTTCCGGCACAGGCTCCGAAGTATGCTACTCGGAATACGATGGCGTCAACGAAACCATCCTCACCTTCCCCGCGTACCTCGAGAACGCCTCCAATACGTTTAAGAAGATCGGTGCAACCGTCATCATCTCCTCGCAGACGCCCAATAATCCTTGGGAAACGGGCACTTTCGTGGATGACCCGCCGCGGTTCGTCGGGTACGCGGAAATCGCCGCAGATACAGCGGACACGTCGTACGTGAATCATTTTGATTACACGGATCAGGTATATGAGGCGTTGGGGGCGGATACCGTGGATGCGTATTTTCCGATCGATCATACGCATACCAGTGCGGCCGGGGCGAATGTCGTTGCTAAGGCGTTCCTGAGGGGGGTTGTTTGTGGAAAGTTGAGTTTGGCGGATGAGTTGGTGACGGATGATTTGGAGTTGGATGAGTATGAGTGTTTGGATGAGTAGATGTGGTGCTACGACATGTGCCGAGGATAGCTATTAGGGCGAAGTATCGGCGATTGGGTCGAGAGTTAGGAATCACATTTAAACTCCCCTTGTTGAATCATGAATGGACATGATGGCGAACTGTTCATGCTGAGTTTTGACATTAGTTCTACTACGACACAATGATTTATGTTTCAGAAGCTGTCCTACCTAGATAAGGAATAACCACACATAGATACCCAATACTACCTATCAACCAAATTTGCATTGCATGGTATCTTTCACCTTTCCGCACTCTTTTTGAACCCTGGGGCTACTATAGTACGCCTTAGTGAGAGAGGAGATGAAGCCATTCTATCCTCATGTGCACCACATGACAAAGGCCATCTAGCACTGTGCTATATTGAAGGTATCCCTATTGCAAGTCAGAAACATGTTTTCGGAAAGATACAGAATAATATCGGAATGAGACAGCACAAACCGTTCAAGGAGATTAGTAGTACTAGTATACTACTACTTGTCTACCTTATCAGAAAATCCACTCACTGACCAACCAAGCAATAGTAGCTGTCGGTGGAGCGAGCAAAGCTCGGAGCAGCTGCTCTTTCAGTTAGAGCAGGATCAATTCTATCCCATCACGCATACCTTCATAACGTGATACGCATACTAAATAGCCTCCTGCATATTGCCTTATCAACGAGCAAACCGAGATAATGTCAGAACATGTGAAGGCATGAATGACCCCATCTCCACCCTCTCATATCTCCCTGCTTCAACCCAAAATAGAGCAAAGCGCAGATCCCCGTCGGATATCCCGGACATGGAATTCCCCGGTCGCAAACACCCCTCTTTCACATGTGAAGGACAGTAAGCGGAGCTAGTATGCCCGATAACTAGTGATGCATAGTATAGTATAGGACAATCACGTCAGGAAAGGTGCTGGTGGTGGGGAAACTATATTCCTCGGGGTACTGGTAAGTAGTACCCTACGTACGTACTTACGACCTTGGCAACCGTTACGCTAATAATCTGAACAACTTGGTAAGTAACTAAGCTACTCGGCTTCTAATCGGGCTAAGGTTGGCCAAGCTCCCGGTAATGAAATTGTTTAATATACTACCGTAGAGGGTTATCTACATATCCCGCATGATTCAAGTAGATGAGTTGATCCGTGGTTGACGTGAGCGTGCTTTTCCCGTGGTGGTGAGTTTTACGTGATCTTATTACGCCACGGCATGGTGGAACGAGCCGTGCAGAGTGTCCCGGTCAGTAGTAACAGTTCTTCGGGAATTTAGTGTGGGAGAAAGTTAATCTAATCAATTGAAACTGACTTGGAAGTTGAAGTGGGATGGATGGACGGGTCGGGGATTCTTCGGTGCTATTGCTGCTCTCACTCTCATTAGTCTACATTCTTCAAGACTGATACACGTCAAAACATGCCTCACGAACTCTTTCAAAATCAGACTAGCATATGTACTTCGCCAGTTACTATTGAAAACTATGTACAAATTCATTCCATCTTAGCTATATCCAGTCCAGATTATCACTGTACTGCACCAGTAATGCTCTACGAGCATTCACTAATGTAGATCGTATACCATCTATGAGCTGTCGTACTGTCAAGCAGGGTGCCGTCATTCCCGTCCGTCGAATCCACCCCCACAACTTCGGTCACGTCCGACGTAGTCACCGTCACATCATTGCCGCTGGTGATCCAGTACTCCGGGCTGAAGTGGTGGTAGCCCAGCAGCTCGGGAGGAAGCTTGGGCACGATGTCGTCGGTGTGGGTGACGCGGTAGTTGCTGCCCATGTTTTGGTCCGTGATGTAGTCGGCTAAGGCAAGGTTGCCGATACGAGGTTGGCCGAAGTTGTACTGTCCATTATGTTAGATGACTATTCTGAAAATGAAGGGAACGGGAGATGGATAGAGTGTTGTGGGGGTAGGCTACCAGGTCAAGAGTGTATCCGGCGTTTCGGAGCACAGTGGCCGCAATGGCCGCCAATGCAGCGCCGTAGCTGTGTCCGGTGAACACGATGGAGTAGTCTGGATAGCTGGAGACAGCAGCCTCCACCTTGGATGTGATGGTGTCGGCGATGACTTCCCAGGCCTCGTAGAAGCCCTTGTGCATCTCACAGCCATCACAGATGCTGCTTACGGAGGTGAGGCCGAAGTCCAAGTCGGCAATCCAGTTCGAGATGTCGGAACTACCCCGGAGAGCCAGAACGATTAACTCGTTTGTAGGGTCAACGGCGATGAACCCAGTCGGGTCGCCGTAGCTGCTGCTGCTAGGGGGGTGTGAGCTGGTGACAACTAGAAAAGACGCTGAGGTAACTTGGCTTACTCGTCAAACTCATCAATAGTCGTGGCACCGGCTGCCTCGACAAGAGGGCAGTTGCCTACATCGCAGGTCAGAGTCGTGCCGGTGGATTCTATGTTGGAGGAGCAGTAAGCTGCTGCGCTGTATTGGGCGAAGAGGTCGATGTTGTCCAAGACGGTAGAGGAGATGTCTGAGCGAGGTTAGTAGGTTCACGGTTCACAAGATGTATTGGAGAGTGTTACCTCTACGCTGCATCGGAGCAGGTGCGGGAGCAGCATGGGCCAGCACAGATAGGGCTGCAAAAACCCCAAATTCCCTGCGGAAGAACATCTTGAGAGCCAGGTAATACAGCGCTGGATATTCTTGGGAAAGATCTGCGACTTTCTAGAGATTTACCTACGGTGGCGTGGCCCCCTTTATAGATCAGATGAACTGGGGATCCGACGGCTGTCAACGGCCCATCGTTGTCACCAACGTCTCCGAGAAGGTATTCGAACTGAATTAGACTCGGTGCACCGACCGGAGAGTCGCAAACAAAAGCAATTGTGACTAACGCTCCTGGCGCTGCGAAAGGAAAAGCCAGGATTTAACCCCCATGTGCTTTATAAACCGCCAATCAACAGGCATGTCTGGCCCGGGGCGTGCCATGGTCGTGAGGAATTCGTGCTGGCATGTCAGGCTGCAAGGGGCTAAGGAACCAATGGCCCTCTGGCTCTCAGTCACGCAGGGAGAGAACAGACATTTGCGGAGTGCCGCCATGCGCTCGGCCGCGTGTGCCGGACAAAATTGGATGTAAAAAGTCCACGACCCGCAATGTTTCTAGAAAGCCCCTACCGCTACTCTGTATTCAACCCCATCTGCGCCTGGCTGAGTTGGGCTTAACAAGCGGGGGCCATATATTAATACGTCTGCTCTGCTTCCGCCAATTAAAATAGGGGTACAAATGAAACTAGGTTTAACCAGAGAAGGGGCCGTAAATAGGAGGTTAAAAGCTTAGTTCGGGTGAAGAAGTGGGTGTGATTTCGGATGACCAGGCTAGCGTGCCTGCAGGAGCTCGGTAGTCAGCCAGGTGACAGGGTGAGCTTGATGCATGATCGTACAGGGGTGTGGATCCTGCGACTGCAAGAACTAGATAGGATGAGGACATCGACTGCGTTGTTGCATGTTATCTAGCATAGAACTGCAGCCTTATCGACTGGTCGGATGGACGACGGTCTCCGATGAGCTTCCTTGACAGACGGACTGACATGTGAAGACCGCGAAGGGATGAGGTGAGAGCTGCAGCGGTGGTGATGGAGATAGAGTTCGGCTGCTGAATGACTGACCCCTTGCCGTCAACAATAAACGCCCGGATTTACGCGCTTGACCGTCGGGGCAAGAGGGTTTTTTGAAGCTCGCCGGTCCATCTGTTC